TCAGTCTCACTAATTCTGACTTCCATTGCCTCAATTCTGCTCCTATGACTTTCTATTGAGTTATCTAATTCTGAAATTTTATTCTTAATCTTCTGGGTTTCTGATTGCTGTCTCTCTATGGATTCTTGCAGCCTGTTAAATTTGTCATTATGCTCTTCTCTAAAATTCTTAAGTTCCTCTATTGCTCAGTCTGCATTTCCTAATTTCCTTCTTACTTTCTTGAAGAGTTCTGTATATTAATCTTTTGTATTTGGCCTCCAGTAATTCCAAGAAATTCTCTTCCTCTGGAAAATTTCTTGATTATTTTGGGAGTTTGCTGAAGCCATCTTGGTCTGCTTCTTTATGTGATTTGATATTGACTGTTGCCTTCGCGACATCAATGAATTATTATATTTATTTATTTTATGTTTGCTTACTGTGTCCTAGCTTCTTGTTTTGTTTTGTTTTGATATGCCCAAGTAGGCTGCTTGTGTGAACTAGCCTGATCACTGGCACCCCGAAGCTCCAAGTAGCCAGACTTGCCAATAAGTATGTGAGCCCAGGAGTCCGCCCACTCCTTCTGTATGGATTCAGTTCAGGTGTCCAGATAGTTGGCCACCAAGTGTGTGGTGCAGGCTTTCACCTACATTTCTAGACAGGCATGGGTGACTGGTGTAGGCACAGGCACCCAGCTGCAGCAGGGAGTCACAAGAGAGCAAAGCAGGTGACCAAGAGCCACCCCCAAGTGTCCGGGAGGAAAACGTGTCCCTCTTCCCTAGAGTGCATAAGTGGGTGTGTTTTGCAGCCAGACTATGAGCATTCAATGCTGTTAGCTGTGAGGACAGGGGGACATCACTTATTCTTGAGCCCCTGTTGAAGGTGCTAGGTAGCGTGGGTGGAACCACCAGTCCTCAGGCCCCTGATGTGGGTAGGTGAAGACCCTGATTAATGGGCAGAGCAGTATCAAATGTCATAAACTGCCACTTCACAGCTGAAACAGTTGAAGTTAGACTTCAGGTATATACCGGGTTGTACTATGGTTAATGATGGCCTATGCTGTTGAAATGGGCCCACACAAGTCTATGCAGGGGGAAAGGCACTCAAAATCCGTGGACCCCTTATGCCAGTGCCTAGGCAAACGAGCTGTGCCTACCCTAGTTTCTGGCTTCAGGGAGCTGATAGATTATTTTTTCCCCTGTTTGTTAATTTGGTCCCTCTCCAAGGCCAGGAGAATGGCTCAGGGCACATGATGGGTCCTACTTCTGATCCAGGGGACTTGACAATTGCTGAAGCTGACCCAGACCCAGTGCAGAGCAAGGAGCTGGGAGGTAAATGGGAGAGAGGTTTTTCCCAAAGGTGGATGTTTTTGATCCGTGTGCTAGGCCAGATGAAAGTACTTATCTTTTGCTGATCGAGGGCTCCTTCTCACTGGTTCTGGATGGCTGAGTAGACTCTCTGCCACTGGGTCTCTCCTGATGTGGAAAACACCTCCCGAGGACCGCTGCTTGTCTCACCGTGCACCAGGAGCTAATGCAGCCTGAGGGGCTCTGGCTCCTGCTGGGTCAGATCTGGCAACTACTCGCTACTTCTGAACCATCTCTCCCTTCCCCCGCCACTCAGTACAATTCCTCAACTTTGCCTTTGATGTTCAGGGCTCCAAGATTGTCATATACAATCAATTCACTTGTTTTTTCAGGTCTTTGTTGTAAGAGGGACCACTGGAAGCATCTGACTACTCTGCCATCTTGGCCCTGCCTCCTCCATAGGGTTTTCAATGGCTAATTTTTCAGAAGTAGATTGCCAGGGCTTTCTTCTGAGGTGTCTCTGGGTGGGTGCAAACCTCCAACCTTTTGGTTAACAGCTAAGCTTATTAACCTTTTGCACCACTTAAGATTCCGCCACCACTGAAGCTCCTTCAAAATGCAGAAGAGTTCCTGTTTACACTTTTGTAGGAAAAGCCGTAATTTTCTTCAAGGTGTATCTGTGACTTTCCCCATGAACAAATTAATTAAAGAATGATGAGATAATCTTTTTTACCCCTTACTGTGTCTTTATCATTATAGAACTAAATCCCCTAGAGTTTTCTAATTGGATGAGTTCTTGCTTTGGGGTTAGGTAAAACCACCGACAGTATTTTCAAGTCCAGGAGATATGAGAAAACTTGGTCCAAAATCACAGGTGAGAAAAGAAAAAATAAAAAGCAGGTGATCCGTTAAAGCAAGGAGAAGAGGGAACGTGACAGCAATTTGGAGATTGCCTTTTGGTTTCAAGTAAACAGCATCTTATTTCCATTTCCATATGTAGGTTTATCATACATGTGATCATAACCTTTTTCTTTTACTTTTTTAATCACAGAAGTTACGTTTTTCAATAGATACAATTTTGATTAAATGACTGCAATTACTTTTTGACACTTAAGAAAGACCCAAATTTGCAAATAAGTCAAACTCTGATATTTAAAAATCCAATTACTAAATGAAATTCACAAAAGATTAGATAGGATTCTTTTTTGTTTTTATTTATTAAAAAAAAAAAAGTTGCCCTTAAGTAGTATCTGGTATTTTAAGTCTCTCAGATTACTCTGAAAAAATTAGATAAAATATTGTAAACAATAATTAATTATGGTCAAATATTTTGTTATATTATTATAGAAAATGTTACAAAATAAAGCTACATACAATATACAAAAGTAAATAGGAAAAGTGGTACTAACATGCGTTTGGTAACTATAAACATATAAACACTTGATATAATCATCAGCAAGCTCCCAAGTTACTTTATTCCTTGTGTTTTCATTTTTTTACTCATTTGTTCTTGCTGACATCAGGATCTTTGTATTTTTCATCATTGTATTTCTACTGCTTAACAGAATACCTGACACAATGTAGCTCTTCAATAAATGCCTGTAAAATTAGTGTCTGAATAAAGTAACTATATGTAAAAGGTACCATTTGGGAGAGGGCAGTGGTGGTTCAGTGGCAGAATTCTTGCTTTCCATATTCAGGAGAGCTTGGTTTGACTCCAGGCCAGTGCACCTCAGCTGCAACCACCACTCGTCCATCAGTAGAGGTTTGACGTTGCTATGATGCTGAACAGGTTTTAGTGGAGCTTCCAGACTAAGATAGGCTTGGAAGAAAGGTCTGGAGATATAATTCTGAAAATCAGCCACAGAAAACCCTATGGATCATAACAGTCCAATCTCGTTGTACGTGAGGTTGCCATGAATTGGGGTCTAATTCCAAGGCAGCTAACAATAGCAATCACCATTTGGACTGTGTTGAGCCTGACGGAGTTGTATGCAAATAACACAGAATCAAAGAACCTAATGGTACTCACCAAAATAATTTATTCATTCATATAATCAATCCTTACTACGTATCTATTATGTGTAAAATCCGTTGCCGTCAATTCCATTCATAGTGACCCTATAGGACAGAATAGAACTGCCCCCACAGGGTTTCTAAGGAGTGGCTGGTGGATTCGAACTAACAGACTTTTGGTTAGCAGCCAGGCTTCTTAATCACTGAGCCACCAGGTTTCCATTATGTGTAAAGTACTGGGCTAAAGCTGTTGAAAATACAAAGGAAAGAAAAACTCAAGTCCTTTTCTTAAAAATTAGAGGCAAAGACCTGTAAATAAAAGAAAGATGGGCAGAGGTAAAATATAAATATAGAAGAGATCAAGTAGAAAATTGAAGAAAATCATAAGAGAGGATGTTTTGCAAGCAAAGTAGCAATTTTGCAGCAATCTAATTAAAGAACAGATGATGCATAACTAGTCTAAATGAGTACGCTTTACTAATAAGAGATTTAAACACTGTGAAGAGAACTGTGGTATTAAAGAAATTTGAAATAATTGACTGTCCAAATGCCTATTTATGTCCTGTACAGAACAAAATGCGTCTGATTTTAAAACAAAAGCCATTAAAAAATAGAGACTGTCTATGGATGTATACATAAACTCTTTGAGCACACTGACTCAAATGACTAATACACATCAGAGATAAGCAAATTAGCAGATTATGCCTGTGTTTTATCACTTTGAAGTCAAAGACTAACTTTGAGCTTTCCTTATTCTCCAGAAGCCACCTATAGTGCTTGGCACATTATTGGGACTCGACAGTAGGCTAATTTGGTTCTTAATACTTAGAATGTAAACTGTGTGTGGGTAGAGACCTTGCTTGTTTGTTTTCTAATTTGTTCATTGTTACATCTCTGGTGTCTTGATGAGTGTCTGGTGCATAGTAGGTATTAAATAACTATTAGCTGAATAAATAAATAAGCTATGCTATGTATGCCTCTGTAGACTTGGCTATGCTTTTTCTGTACTATGCTCAATGCTTCTCCTAGTTCCTTCCTCTTCATCTATATTCTGACTGTCTGTCTCTTACTCATCCTTCAAGAACCATCACAATTGTCCCTACTCTGGGGCAATTAAACATTTGGTGATTTTACACACGCATACACAAAGATAATTTGAGTCATCTGGGAACTTTTAGCTTATTTGGCATAAATCAAAAGAAAGTGGCATTTTTCTTTATAATTAAACCATAAAAGAGTCTCACTTCAAGGAAGCATTTGATTAGCTGCAAAGAATGGGCTTAACACGATAGAGAGGTGACTTGGAGAAGACTTTGAGAAAGAAGTGGGCTGACAAGGCAAAAAAAGGGAGGGAGGATTAACACATTTGTCTGAATAGTGTAGGAGAAAGGTTTCTTATTATCATAGAATTGTATAGCTTGAAGAATCATAGAAATAATTTTTATCAAACCCTTTTATAAATGATGTAGAAACTAAGAAATGGAGAAGTGAAAATCTCTAAGATTAACTCAACTAGCCTAATTAATTAGCAATAAAGAGAAGGCTACAAGAAAATCAGAGACACTGAGATCCTATGGAAACGTGTTGTAATATTGCATAACATTTGTAACAGTACAAAAAATTTACCATAACAACATACTGAAGGAGCTCAAACATTTCTCCCTTTTAATTCACATATCTTTGCTTTATAAGTCTTGACTGAAGTCATTCCTTGTACAGGAAAATTTTTTCATTCTTTAATGATATTTAAGTATTAAACTCACCAGTTTTTATATAGGTTCTCCCTTCCTGAATAAGTAATTGAATTTTAAAACTATGTTGAACAATTCAAATAAATGTGCATCCCAGAAAAAATTAAAATAAGTGCAAATTTAATTTCTTCAAAATAAGATTTTTTTATAAAATTGAGAAAACAAGATGCTTATTTCAAAGGAGCTGAAAGTGTGCGTCTTCCCATAAGAAATCAAGCTACTATAAAAATTTTTAGGTTCCAGTGGATGCTGTCTGTGGTGTCATTGGAAGCTGCATCTTGAACTTTCTGAAGGTAATATCTGGGCTTCAGAGTTCCTACCAGCTCTCTTTGCAACAAAATAGACCAGCAGCTGCAGTCAATCAATCGCAATCCTATCAAGCCTTCATGATGTTTCCCTTGGCCAGAAATGCACTACTCAGTCTCAAGGTTCAGAGCATTCAGCAAATGATAGCAACACAGAGCCACCAAAAACACTCACTAGATTTTCATGACAAATATGGTAACGCTGTACTAGCCAGTAGAGTGACTTTCTGTTTTGTTGCATGGGTATTTGTAATCACACAGCTAGGACTAGAATGGAACCTGTCCCCTGTAAGAAGAGTCACTCCAAAGGAATGGAGAGAGAAGTAACCATCACATTGCTGTAATTCCAAATTGTTTCCAAACCAACTTGTTATCTAAGCACTCTGCTGTTTATTAAAATACAGCATTATTGAAGAAATAAAACATACTTGAAATCTTTAAAAAAAATTCTTGGCACCTCTATAATTGAAAGGATTAAATATAAAATCTTTATGTTTGGTCTAGTAGCAATCTATTGGAAATACACTTCCAACTAAAATAGTACTAAGGTTGCAGAACTTCAGCATAGTATTCCAGTTTGTAAACTGATTTTCTATTGTCAATTATAATGCTTCTATTACATCATCTGTAATGTAGTCTGTAATACATCAATTTGTATTACATCATCTTGAGCAAATAATCTAAGAAGCTGGACCACATGAAGAAAAACGGAGCATCAGGATGGGAGGAAGACTCATTAACAACCTGTGTTACGCAGATGACACAACCTTGCTTGCTGAAAGTGAAGACGACTTGAAGCACTTACTGATGAAGATCAGAGACTACAGTTTTCAGTATGGATTACACCTGAACATAAAGAAAACAAAAATCCTCACAACTGGACCAATAAGCAATATCATAACAAATGGAGAAAAGATTGAGGTTGTCAAGGACTTCATTTTACTTGGATCTACAATCAACACACATGGAAGCAGCAGTCAAGAAATCAAAAGACGCATTGCACTGGGCAAATTGGCTGTAAAAGACCTTGTAAAGTGTGGAAAAGCAAAGATGTTACCTTGAGGACTAAGGTGACCCTGACTCAAGGCATAGTGTTTTCAATTGCTTTATATGCATGCGAAAGCTGGGCAGTGAATAAAGAAGACCAAAGAAGAATTGACTCCTTTTAATTATGGCATTGGCAAAAAATATTTAATATACCATGGACTTCCAGAATAACAAATAAATCTGTCTTGGAAGAAGTTCGAGCCAATTGTTGCAGCCACTGTGTCAATCCATCTCACTGAAGGTCTTCCTCTTTCTTGCTGACCCTCTACATTACCAAGCACAATGTTCTTCTCCAAGGACTGGTCACTCCTGATAACATGTCCCAAGTACATGGGACTAAGTTCTAATGAACATTCTGGCTGTACTTCTTCCAAGATAGATTTGTTCATTCCTCTGGCAGCCCATGGTATATTCAATATTCTTCACCAACACCATAGTTCAAAGGTATCAATTCTTCTTCAGTCTTCCTTATTCATTGTCCACATTTCACACGGATATGAAACAATTGAAAACACCATGGCTTAGGTCAGACCCACTTTAGTCCTCAAGGTGACATCTTTGCTTTTTAACACTTTAAAGAGGTCTTTTGAAGCAGATTTGCCCAATGCAATACGTCGTTTGACTTCTTGACTGCTGCTTCCATGGGTGTTGATTGTGGATTGAAGTAAAATGAAATCCTTGACAACTTCAATCTTTTCTCCATTTATCATGATGTTGCTTATTGGCCTAGGTGTGAGGATTTTTGTTTTCTTTATGTTGAGGTGCAAGCTATACTGATCATCGTCAGTAAGCGCTCCAAGTCCTCTTTGCTTTCAGCAAGCAAGGTTGGGTCATCTTCATATTGCAAGTTGTTAACGAGTCTTCTTCCAATCCTGATGTCATGTTCTTCTCGGATTATTTGCTCAGCATACAGATTGAATAAGTATGATGAAAGGATACAACCCTGACATACACTTTTCTTGATTTTAAACCATGTAGTATTTCCTTGTTCTGTTCTAAGGACTGCCTCTTGGTCTAGGTATAGGTTTCTCATGAGTACAATTAAGTGTTCTGGAATTCCCATTCATTGCAATGTTATCCATAATTTATTATAATCCATGCAGTCAAATGCCTTTACATAGTCAATAAAACACAGGTAAACATCTTTCTGGTATTCTCTTCTTTCAACCAAGATCCATCTGACATCAGCAAAGATATCCCCCACTTCACATCATTTTCTGAATCAGGCTTGAATTTCTTGCAGTTCCTTGTTGATGTACTGCTGCAACTGCTTTTGAATTATCTTTAGCAAAATTTTACTTCCACGCAAAAACGATCTTTTCCTCTTGTGGTAGATGGTAGAAATGGACCCAATTCTTTGCAGTTCTTCCTGTCAAGAAGTGGAGCGTATTTCACCAATCCTCATCTGTGATAGCTGTGACTTGTTTTTGTGAATTGAATGTGGCAGAAGTGAGGCTGTGAGAGTTCCATGACTGGGTCTCAAGAAATTTTGTACATTAATTCTTCTGTTTTTAAAAATATTAAAATTTGCATTTGAATAAGCTGAGCCTAGTCTGCTAGTTGATAAAAGACATGGGGCCCAATCATTTGCTCTTTTTTCCCTGGCCAACAGATTGCCAAACACTAGACATGTGAATAAGGTCATCTTAGATCACTCAACCACCAGCCAATCAACAGATGAACACAGACAGAATCATGAGCAAGGCCAAGCCAGATCAGCTGAAAAACTACCAGCCAGACCATTGTATTATGAGTTAAATAAATAGTTGCTCTTTTAAACCACTAGGTTTGGGGAAGTTTGTTATACAGCAAAAGCTACCTAATACAACTCCTTAAATCTTTTGGTTAGAAATCAAACTGTATTTCCACACCTAGACCAAGCATAGAAAAAAGGAGAATTATAATTATTCACATACAAACCGTATTTCGTCTCCTGACATTGGACATACTGCTGCCTCAGCAAAAAAGGGGCTTCATTAACAAAGAAGAAAAGGAATTAGCTATGGATAAGCTACTGTCATATTGAGGTCTTCAGAACAAAAGAGAGGAAAACTTTAGATTTAGGTGATTAAGAAATCATGAACTTTCCCTTGACATAATCTCAGATATGACCCTAATATAAAATAACCAGTTTCAATCTATGCCATAATTTAGAATCTAAAAATATTTAATTATTGGAACACCTTTCAAACTTCTAAAGGAAGTTACTGTTTGGTGTTTCTAGATGGTCAAAATTTAATTTAAATTCTATTTTTTTTTTAAATATGAGATAAAGCTGAAGTATATTTGGACATTAGTGGCCATAGCATTGCATTTTTTGGAGAAAAGACACATCCAAATATACTTTCACACAGAAATCATCTTTCATAGTACTTTTCTTCCCCAAAATACTTGAATCCCAATATTTTATGTAACATACTTCATTTTTACTTTTAATCTTTACAGTATTTGATGTATATATGGAACCCTGGTGGCTCAGTGGTTAAAAGCTCACCTGCTGACCTTGGTCAGCAGTTCAAATCCAACAGCCACTCTTCGGAAACCCTACAAGGCAATTCTACTCTGTCCTATAAGGTTGCCATGAGTCAGAATTGACTTGAGAGCAATAGGTTTGGTTTTTTATGGTATATATATGTGTATACGTGTGTATATACAATGCCATAGTGTTGTATATATGTATATATAGATATGTGTGTGAGTATATATGTGTGTGTGTGTATATATATATATATTCTACTCTGTCCTTCAGGGTCACTATGAGTTGGAATCAATTAGATGGCAATAGAGTTTTTTTTTAATGTGTGTGTATATATATATATAGAAAGAAAATTTTATAATAAAATATAGTCATAATGATGATACAGTGTAATTGTTAGCTTTATCCTGGCTTTGTAAGTAGTTTAATTGTATTATTTAGATTTTTTTTAGTACAACAGGCTATCTTTACCACAGAAGTTCCTAAAAGCTTGCATAGCACAGAATTCAAGAGCAATATTATAAACAAGCTATATTTTGATAGTTTAAAATGATAGTTATTTTGCCAAATTTGCATTTTGAATTAATATATTACATCTTCCTTAATTTATTATGAATTTAAATGTCAGCTGAACTACATATCAGACAAATTGGTATAAAGTAGATTTTTTAAAGAAAGAACACAATATATACAGGAGGTGAAAGATACCACAACTTCAGTCTGAGGAAATAGAAGAGATAATCTTTGTTTTATAGCATAAAAAAATGACTTGGGACTGCTGTGGCATTTTGAGAACAAGAAAATCTTGCTATTATTTGAAATCACCAGAAGAATTGTGTGTATGTAGGAAAAACAAAAAATAGAGTGCCTGTGAACATAAGAGGGACCTGATGATATAGATTACATTAAATGTTATTTTTAAAGTGTTAGATACAATATTGATCATGCAAATCAAACACAGTATGACCTTCCTAGATAGACAGAAGTTTTCACTAAGGCTCATACATTAAGAAATTTTGGAATGGAGTCTAGGAATAAAACTCCTTCTGTTATAATTGTTTGCACCTGAAATGCTCTTCAGTTAGCTGGTGTAGATTAGTCAAGGACTAATGTTCAGGGTACTGGAGTATTCAGAATAATAAATGGCCTCTGCATTTGATTAAATGTAAAATGAAGCTGATGTATCTAATCAACAACAAATGCCTTTTTACAGCAAATAAGTGCACTTTAACACATGGGCCATTATAACTTCTCTGTAGCAAGGGAAAACTTTCAGCATATTTATCTGAGAGATAATGAAGATACCATCATAATTTCAGAGTCTTTTCTGCCTCTTGCTACTCACAGTAGCATCTACACGAGGCTACCAAATTGATCATTTTACTGAGTTGAACAAAAGAACCAATCGTTTTTCCTATAAGATTACAGATACTTTCACTCTTAGGTTAGTGAAGCTTAGTGGAATAACAGTCTAGAAATAGTGAAATATTATTCAGTCCAATAAAGATAATTAAGTCAAACAAATAATTTAAAATGTTTAAACCTTGAAAAAGTAGAAGAGCAATATGTAAAGTGATGAATTGTCCTCTCCATTTCCAAGAAAGAAAGACAAATATTACCAAGGTTCTATTTTCTACCCCTTCTCTCCACTCCTTACAAATCTAACACTGTTCTGAGAAATTGTGTCTTCTCTTTACTTTAAAAAAAAAATAGTTTTGGGACTCGGGCACACGTGGCTCTGGCAGCATGCTTGTCCAATTTCCCACATTTGCCTCTTGGAACATATGCCAGATAAAACTTTCTTTTCACTTTACTAAACTTTGTGATGTTTTTTCCCTACAACAGTTAAAGGTGTAGTCGTCAAGGATTTCTGAAGCTACGAATCCAGTCAAACTCAAGGAGACTTGGACTGCGGAGCAAAAGCTGGCAAAAGAGAGGCCCTGTCTTCTGGACCCACGTGTTCCCATTCCCACGTCCCTTCTATACGGATAGGGTGAGTGCTGTCAGAAAACGAGCTTTTGCTTACTCTTTTTGGTTCTCTTTCTCATGTTTTCTTAAGTTTTGTTTGGCATATTTGTTTGAAAAACCAGTTGTTTGATTAAGGAGAATCTTTCTTAGATTTTTCCTTGATCGTTTGGATAAGAGTGACATTTAGTAACTTTGGGCGAACTGCAGTTTAGGTCCGG